CCTGGCTATGGCATATCATAGGTATGTGATCTTTGACAAGTTATTTGATTTTTGTTGTCTCAGTTTCTGCATCTAAAAAAAGGCTGTTGTGAGGATTAAATGAGTAAACACATGTAAAGCCCTTATGACAAAATAGTTCACATAGTAAATGCTATTTGTGTTAGCTATTTTCACTATTATATTTTGATGTAATAGATGTTTAACAAATGTTGGTTCTTGATATTTCCATTTCTTTAACCATATAATTTTAATTCAGTTTAGACTATAATAATATCTCCGTAAACAGTTTGAATCATAGATTCATTTTCTTGATGTGTACACTCATTACCTTTTAATACACTGAGAGGGGAATCTTTTGAGGAATCATAATAGTTTGCACTCAGGGCTTCCTCTGTAGCTCCTTAAAGATCCAGAAGCACAACAGAATGTATAGGAGGTTATTTTCTTAAAATCGACTTTTGAAAACCTACAGAGAGCAATATGCCTTGAATTTTTTCATTTTTTCAACATTTATTTGGCTAACACTTTACCGCACAGAAAATCTTGCCCTGATCTCTGAAGCTTCGTAAAGTCAACCTTTTTACAGTAAAGGGAAAACAAGTTTAGTTCACTGGGCTCTTGACCCTAATTACCTTTCCTACAGATCCCTTCAAATTAAACCAGAACCACTCTGATTTTCACATGACATGCATCCATAAGCCCCTGAATCTCAACCTGCTCTCCCTGTTCTGATGGTAAAACTTGCTCTCCTTACCTTTCTGACGGGAATTCAATAGCATTTACTGAGCACTCCTTACAAAATCAGAGCAGGACTAAAAGAACTAAGAGTGGTAAAATAACACTAACTAAAATGCTGTCTGGAAGAAAGGCCTGAATATCATTATAGGCTGGTAGGGTTCTGGAAAGAAAGCTACTGGTTTGGTTGGAGTGACTGAGAGATGCCTGACAGCTGAAGTTAGTCTCTGCCTAAATTTTGAAGGACTTTTGAAGCTGGAAGGGAGCTTTCATTTTTTCCTCTTTTTGCAGATAAGAAAAACAAGGCCAGAGATTAAGTCACTTGGCCAAAGTAATGCATCTAGCTACTGGGGAAAAAAAAAAGTCATCAAGATTGAAAAACCCAAATCCCCAAGAGAGGATCAAATGCTTTCTCCATTAAAGCATACCACATTTGAATAAGTACAAAGCCTCAGAAGAGCCTTCCAGGCAGGGGGAGGAGGGCAAAGTGGGCAAAGTGGCAGTAAACAACTCCTATGGGCCTGGCAGTCAAGGAGTCAGTGCTGGACAGGAGCAGAGCAAAATGGATCAGTAGGGTGGAGCCCCATCATGTTCAGCAGCACAATTTTATCCTGAGGAACTTCCAACTAGTGCCCTATGATTTTTTAAGAAAGATAGCTTTTAAAACCTTAGTGATTCACATGTAACTGCATTATCTTTAAATTTCAAACAAACAAAAAAGCTATTGAGTGAATTATTTAACCTTATTGTATTGCTAAGTATACTGTTAGATGACAAGACATAGTTTACATAGTTTAATATGGCATAGTTTGATGAAATCAAAATCTAAACTTTGTGGCTTGGAATTTCTTTTCTGTCCGCCAAATAGTGAGCAAATTTCCACATGAGTTCAGAGACTGTCCCTTATATTGGAAGGCCATAAATCAAAGATAGACTTCTAAGAGGTTTGAATTGTTCTGTCCCTAAGCTTAGATCCCAACCCTCAAAGGTATGGCATTATGAATGTCCTATAAAGTATGAGAGCCTCCAGTGATGTGTAATGAAATTCTTAATGCTATCGGGGAATAAGGAGAGATTTTTCTTTTACGAACTATGAGCATGGGATACAGGGCCCTAAGTGAGCAGCACTAAGTGCACCAGCTGCTGTCAGTCAATATTTTGGCCATTAATAGTCATTTAAGCTATTAGTCCAATTTAAATGACTATCATCATGGCTTAAGATATAAACCAGTTATAGATTTCAATCCTTAAATTTTGAAATAATGAGAGCCGCAGAATGTCATGAAACACAATTACCCATTACTGTTCCTCATGAAGCAAAAATATGGTTATAATGCTGTTACTGATTTTTAAAAGCATCCTAGGACCCTTAATATCAAAAAAGAAGATATTTTTCATATAATAGATTATTTGTAGTTGGGAGTATCAGACTGATCTCCAATGAACACAGAATCAAACTGAACACTACATATGATTTTTCTTGGCCTCCACAACCCCTCATAGGATATTTTAAGGTTAACAACTTGGAAATTGTTTCTATCAATAACTATAAGAGAGCAATTAAATGTTCTATTTGATAACTTTTCCCCTCATTTTTCTTGAACTGCTCATTTCCTAAGTCCCTGCTCCTTAGAATTTTTAAGTTGGATTCCTGATCTACTGATAAAATGCATTAACATCTAATCTTTCTTCTAAAGGATATTTGACACATTTCAGCAGAATAACCAGCAGAAAGGCAGAATGTCTTAGTAGAGATGGAGGTTGAATCCCAACTCAGCAGCTAATTACATGACCTTCACCTAGCTAAGTTTTCCTTTCCTTGCCTGTGAAATTAAGATATTGGAATTATGATCTCTAAGACTCCTTCCCAATTTGTGAATTTCATTTATAGGCACTGGGCACTTCATTCACTTGGCATTTCCTTTCCCCTTCTCATTTAAACGTGTTTATTAGAATGTCCAATCTTGTTCCTCTGTTGTAGTTTCAGACTATTTTATCACTGATAGAAAGTCCCCAATAAACAGTTTAGATACAATGATGAACAGGAGCCAACTTTATAGACATGTGTATGTATAAAAGCAAATGGACCTTGCCATGAATGACTGTTTAGTTTTGGGGAAGTTAGTTCACTGCTCTGAGATTTAGTTTCTTCCTCTGTATAATGAGGGGGCTGGAGAAGATAACCTCTATGATCCGCTTAAATTTCAACAATTATAATTCTTTACCAACAACAAAAAAATAACACTAAAATAAAAGTATTTTCATTCATTTATATAGTTTAAGATAACTCAAGGATACTCAAAATTTTAGTAAAGGAATAGTTATGCATACATATGCATGTTTTCATAATTTTTATAATCATTTTACTTTGCATTGTTTCAGAATTCGCTTTCAATAACTTACATATAAAAAATTCAGAGGAATGGAAATCAGACAACTTAATCCCACTCTTATAAACCACAAGCCTTAAGAATAGCAGTTTAAAGAAATGCTATCTGAACCATTCTGCAATACACTAATATTTTATGATTTCAACCTCAACTTGAAAGTATTTCATGAAGTTTTTAAGAAGTAAAGGTAATCTGGGACTTTTTTCAGGCTCAAAAGTAAAAGTTGCACTTATATATTATGAGTACAAACTATGGTTGAATTTTAATAAATCATCAAAATTTCATCAAATGTTTACAAAAGAATGTATCCATCATGGATTAGCTGAAATTGGTAAAATGAGTCATAGTTTAACTGTATTCAGTGCCGTGAAGAAATCTTCTAATAAAGGTTTATAATTTAAAAATCTGTGTTGTTATACAAAACCATATATAGCCCTTTAATTTAATGCCAAGAATTACATTGTTTCTGGCTTCTCAGATTACATCCCATATCCTCTTTGATTATTTATTAGCCAAGTCAAGAGAAAGATCATGGTTCACTGTTGATGGAGAAAAGCAAATGACTGGTACCTCGGGCTTTACACCTGACAGAACCACTTCCTTTCTGTTTGACATTTTCTTCAACCTGATTGTGTTTTCCCCTCAAATGAAAGTTTTGTTTTTTGCTTTAAGACCCTCAGTACAAAAGAATTTAACTCTGTGCTCGGAAGGGATCAGCACATCAGTCTCCTGAAAGAAAATATACTGCTTAGCCTATAACTTTTAGTTCCTAGCTCAAGTATCTCACCATGGAATCTAGTTTAGGCATAGAATTTCTTACAGTCTCAAATCATGACTGTACATTATTATCATCACAACATCACATGGTTAGCATATAAAATTGATCCTGTGCCCTGAACCTCAGGGATATAAAAGGCTTTAAGACTTCCAAAATGAGGGAAGAAAAATATAAAAGTACATTTTTTGCTATGAATTATAGCAATGCTTCACTTGTTTGCATTGTGTTCAAAGTTCCTATCCATTACCAAGCTGAGATAAGAACAGTATAGCAAGTTTTAGAACTACTGGTGTCTTGCATTGTACTTTCAAAGACGAGAGTACAGCATGGATAATCTCTGCACATTTTACTAAACTTTCTGAAAGGAATGACACGGTAAATTGTACAGAAAGAGCAAAACTTCAGGAGTTTAAAATACTAAATGCTTTTTCAGATCTTTCCCCCTACTCCCCACCAAAGGCACATAGCATATGATATTAAAAATGACAGTAATTATAAATTAGAAAGTGTAAAATCAGGCTAAGAAATGAAAAGTATTGCATAAGGAAACTTTTGTATAAGAAAATAAAACATTGCCCATATAATTAAAATGGGTTTGGATACAGTTTTTCCAATAGCATGTGTGGGATATGTTTCTGCCAGTTTCCTTCTTGAAACTAGTTGACATAAGACAATTCATTCCATACAGTTTTAAATAATGCTATTTCCAGAACGTTATAAAACTCATCAGTCCCTCCTGTGAAAGATTGCTGCTCTTTGTGACTGCAGAGTCCTGACTTCCCAATATCTATCATTACAAAAACAAACAGTTTGCTCGGTTGGACTCCCCACATGACAATGGACCCGCATCTGTCAACAGACTCGCATTATGTGCCGCCTGAGAACAGGACTATGACATTTACTCTTGTGACAGGGCAAATTTCAGCAGCTCATCTGGAAAGAGATGAGCATTCATTATGCTGCAGCACCTTTCATCAAGCTAATGACATTTCAATCAGCACATTTTCTCCAGTTTCAATACTTTGCCATCTGAGCACAAGTCTCTAATTACGCCCAAGCAACAAGTTTCACATCAATCCTACAATTTCTGCACTCACCATACACCATTGCTCCTCCGGTTTCATGCAAGAAGCGAAATCGATGATTTTTAAATAACCAGATTGTCAAAATGGTAAGGATGAGCAAAAAATTAAAGACAAGCAGCTCCACTGCTCCCTGATGTTGAAACTGATACTCATCCTTCTCTGACATAAACCTTTGCTGTCTCTCCATTCTCTGGTCTTCTCGTAATTCCTTAGACAAAAACCTGGATAAGGACTATTTTATCCAGATTTGCCTGAAACAGTCTAGCTGCCTGAAGATTTCAGAATAAACACTGCCACTTAAGTTGCTACTTCATGAGCGTTCTGCCTTAGTATTCAGATGGCTTCTCGTTACAACTTCCTGTTTCTCTTAAAGCAGCCCTGTCTCTTTTCAAACTCCAGAGTGTAGTTTCATCATGGACTCTTACGGTCTTGAAACAATCCATTCCACGAAATTATCTCTCATGTTGGACAAACCCGCAAGCAATCATTCTGAGATCTTGAGTCATTATTCTTATTGTTTTCAACAAGCTCCTTAAACTGCATAACTGGTGAACTGTAGATTAAGAATAAAACAGATCACCTTTCATCAGCAACATTTTCTAAGTTCAAAAAGCTAATTCCGAATCATAACCTCACTCACACGCCAGATTTCACCTCTCCGACCAAAGTCTACCAATGTGACAGGGTTTAATTGATGGCTCTGATTTGACCTAAGATGATTTCACAGGAATTTTGTTTTAAGGTGAGAATGAAAAAAGAATTTAGTATATGACTCCTCCTCCCTCTCTATGGCTTTATATAACTGGTAGTCACAAGTGCAGCATTTAAACTGCTCCCTTTTACCAAGAATAAATGAAAGCAAAAGACACAAAGAAAATCCTGTCCCCATCTCTACAGCTGTGCTGTTTGGATATGTTAAGTCAAAAAAGAAAAGACACTAAACACATATCTTTGAAGGAAGAAACCATATAGCCATCCTCAGCAATACTACGTACATGGATTTCTCTTTATAGAGCTTCTGGTCCAGACATCCAGGACCCACAGAAATCTGCCATAGATCACAAACTTCCTCTGTCCTGTGGCAAAACAATGTGGTGAGGTCACTGAGGAATAGTCTGCCACCAGCAACAAAGGCTCCAAAAATCACAAGACTTAGACCATAACAGTGATGATTCTTCAGCTCACCTTCCATTTGGCAGGCCGTTTCTGTTTGAATTCATATTTTTATGCTTTTTGAAAAAGTTCAAGACAATATTACTACCAGGGGCTCTGCTGATTTTTCAGCAACTGCTATGATTTGTTGGCCTTATTGGTTCTATAGATTAGATACATCCAAGGGTTCAGTGCAATTAGATACATCCAAGGGTTCAGTGAGTTTTTTTCTCATTTCATGGGTTAAGTGAGTTTTTTATAATTTATGGTACTATTGTAACTCAGGAGTATAAATCATTTAGTATGCCCACATTCAACAGAATTGGCATTCAGTGTGTAGAGTGTAAATGATTTCTTGAGTAGAGAAAGTCCAAATATATCCTCCAAAGCTCTTGTCACCAAAAGCTAGAGGTCAAACATATAATATATTGGAAACCAACTAGCTCCCCAATAACAGTTTCACCCACAGGAAAATCTCTCAACCACTTACTGTAAAACTGCTGTTTCAGCTTCTTTGCCTTCTGCAACTTTTGAAGCTGATTTCCTCTCTGAGTTTAACTCAGTGGGGGGTATTTATGTGGGCTGCAGATGTTCTTTTAACACACTACCCTTTTTGGCAGGCATATATGTGATGACTAATATTCGCACTGTTTTGAAATCTGTCAGCTAACGCTTGTGAGAATTTCATGAAGCCTTAGTTAGCAGGTTCTACCTTTACAATTTTGCAATCCCACAGGTTTAGTCTTGAGTTGTTAGATTTACAAGATAACCCAAATTCAAAGTCTAGCAATTCCCTTTTCTTTTTTTCTGTTTTGATCATCATTTAATTACTTTGGTTTCCTTTTAATAATGGTAATTACTCCATCTGGATAGAATAAACTTTCTTTGGTTGTCTTATTATGACATCCAATTGCATTCTCTTACCCAATAACACAGCTCAATGAGAGGATTAAAGTCCCTGAAATGTTTTGATTGGCTAATACATTGTTTTTAAAAGTCCTAAATTTGATGTCAACATACTCAAATAAGTATATTTCACATTGAAAACTATATATATGGCTTCTCTAGAAAAAACAAACAAACAAACAAACAAAACTGGTAAGATCTGGCCCACTGGGCTCTCCTTCCCATATGGCCACAATCTGTTAGTGCCTGTTTGCCACAAATCCCATTCATCCCATTTCACTCATTCATGTTCCCTGTGTGGCCCCTGCAGTCATTTGGAAGTGTGGCCCCTGGTTCACTCTACGAATGGAATATATTCACTGTTCTGCTGTTCAATATCATTTTATTTTCTGTTGCACCAATAAAAGTACAAAAAAATGAAATAGAAAAACATATTAATATGGCACCTACCATGGACAGGAAATATTTTAGGAAATTTAATTTAGTCTAAATTAATGTTCATAAAAACTCTTCTTTCTACAGCTGAGGGATTTAAGGCTTAGAATTGACAACATATGCAAGGGTGTATAACTAGTGGAAGTTAAATTTCTGTCTGGGGTTTAATGGCCTTAAGATGACATTTCTACGGTGATTAACTCATCTTGGTTTGTCAGGGACTTTCCTGGTTTTAGTACTGAAAGTCCTGTATCCCAGGAAACTCCTTAGTCACAGGCAAACTAATCATCCTAACAGCCAAGGTTTCCAAAATGTGAAAATCCTCTTCTGTCAATAATAACTATTCTTTCTGACATTCCTGAGGGATAATTCACACAAAGAAGAATATCAGTTAAAAATTAAGGCACTGTTTTATTAGCTGGTGACAATAATCCTTAGTGCCAGGTTCTCTGATGAAGTTGGAATGGAACCCAAAATTTAGGCACAAGGCTCAAAGAAACATTCTTGATTGTTCCTTAATCCCACTCTTAGAACCTGCTGGCCAGTGAGTCAAAAGTTCTTGCTGCAAGATGCAACATGCAGGTGAGAGGAAGTAAAGAGAAAAACAAGACGGCACAGCCCATTTCAGTGAGTATGCCCTGCCTTAGCTTGCCTATCCAGCACCATGGAAGCAAAGACTTGAAGAGAGGAGCCTCCCAGGCCCAGTAACCTTGTATTGCATGGTAATACCACCACTAGTGAACATGACCAGTTAGAATGCATAGACTGAGTTTCAGAATCTAACCAAACATTTGAGAGTTCCTTATTCTTGGAGAGGACAGTGGAGATTGTGGGCTCAGAGGATCAAGAAGGGAGATTTTCCTAGGGTTAAGGAGAGATGCTGAGAGTTCCCTTTCCTCAATCACTAGAGTCCCACCCTGCCAACTTCTCCCTCAACCACTGTGTTTAACAGAAAATACTTAAGCCAACCCAGTGCTTCATTCACTTGGCCTATCTCCCAATATTCATCCCTCTCTGAGACTGGTGAAGTGGGGCTATATATTTTGCCCCCAAAATTTCTGAAATGGGCCAGGACAGGACTGTAATTAAGTTTACTTAAGGAGCATACCATGTCCTGAACCAAAAATTCATGCCCCACCCCCCATTCTATTGTCAAATTCATCATAAATCCATCCATTAAAGTAATGAAATAAGGAGACTATTAGGCTGGGGTGGCTCTAATGCCTTGGTAGCCTATGCAAACAAACCAAATCTAAGCCACAGTCAATGCACTCAAATCTAAGAGTGAAACTTAAGAACAATCAATTACAAACAGCCACCTAGACTCTCCCAAATAAGGCAATCACTTAAGTGATACCCAATCAAATAATTTCTGAGACTCACTTCCACATCTTTTCTATAAATACTTCTCTCTTAGCTCCTGTTGGTAGAGTACTTCTAAACACTTTCAGTTTAATGCTGCCCCAGTTTAAATGGATATATACTCCCAAATAAACTTTTACAAATTTTAATGTGCCTTAGTTTACCTTTTAACACATCTCAGCTTCCCTACCCTCCAAAAAAGTCACATTAGCACAAAAATGTCCCGAATTTGAAGAATATGTACCCCTCCCATTAATAGACTCGACAGAAAAATAAGAGTTCAAAAATTTCACAAGGAAGTTAAATTGCAATAAACACTTAAACAATATTAACTTCCCCAAAACTTACTACCCAATACCTGGTTTTTCTTTGTCTGCCTGTGTAGAGTCTTGGGTCTCTGGAACCCAGGGCCAAAAACCCTCAGTGGGGGAAAAACACATTTTGGAACAATGCTGGAGCCTCTGACCACAGCAAACCCCCTCAGGCATAATGTCCCTCTCTTAAGAATGTAACAGATACCACCTACTCCCCCTCAGGTTCCCCTCAGGAATTGGACAATCAAAATACCTAAGGAAACTAAGTAAACCATAAAACTTATGTTATCTGAGGGACAGTAAGGCCATGTCTGACTCCTCACACAATGGAATGGAGCCAATCAGAAATGGACAACCCAGCATCTAGAGTTATCCAGCCAGTAAGGGTAGAACCTGAGAAGGAATGAGGGGGAAGGGAAGAGGGTACTGAACAGAACCTTATGAAACAAAGACCCTTGCCTATAGTCATGGGTATTCACCCTCAAATGCCCCCTCTCTGTAAAGAAAGCTTTCATACTACTCTTATTTTCTAATCTTATACTCTAATAAACTTTTGCCTGCTGCTCATTTTGTGTCCAGTTCTTCATTCTTCGAAGCAGCAAGACAACAAATCCCCAGTACGGAGGTAAAAAATCCTGCAACATTTCTATTCAACAACTCAGGTACAGAAACATGTTTGGCATAAATGAGGATCTCTTCTTTCTTCTACCCTACAAGGTGTGTTCCTTCAGTGCTCTGAAGTGGGAAAACCGGGATATAGACCTCACTGTTTTTTTCCCAGGTAACAATTTATCTCTGGATTGTTGATCTTTGATGGCCAGGAGTACATAAGAAGTTTCCCTATTCAGGGATAACCAGAAAGAAAGTGAATCCCCTTCCACTTGCACTGGATGCCACTTACTGGCCTTGCCCCAGAAAACATATACGAGATTCCACTTTTTATTTAGGCATTTATTAATTGAAGAAGTCCCAAAGCTGTACAGAGTGGAAGAAAAGCAAATTTGGCATTGTGCTTGTA